TTTTGCAGGCATTTTTATGCTGCTTTTATGATTTATTCCATAAATCAATCATATTTTATCACATTTCAAGCCCACACTTGACTTGATGCATGTTCTCTGGAGTGCCTTTAATCTTATTAACCTTTTGAAACTATGTGGAACACACACACACACACATCAGTAACACACAAAATGATCATGACAAGAAGAGTGTAAATCTTGCCACATATAATGACACCTGTAAAGAATTGTGAGGTTGAAACTTCATCTGTGTCTATACTGTCTGTGTGTCTTTTTGCGTCCGGGGTGATGAAGTGGAAAGATCTTCCACAGGGTGTGTGGAAGTTCCCTGTTCTTCAGATGATGGAGAATTTCTGTCACACAGGGTATTATTAACCACCCCCCTAGACATGAAACTTGTTTCAGCATCCACAATTTTCAGAATTAGACTCAATCAAGTGTAATTTTCCAAAGTGCCGTCTCAACATACTGTGTAGTTATGTAATATAAATAGACTCATAAGCATTGTTCGAGCTTGCTCTGCCTGTGCAATGAGCTCGCGGACTTTATTTGCACACCGTAGCACTGCTTGATAATGAGACACGGTTTTTATGGAGACAGGCCTGGAATCAAATTGTGTAAAAGACTGGAATAGCAGCTGCATCGAGTGCATGATTACAACTCTCACTGTCAGTGCCTGATTTCTGCCAATATGAGACTTTTTTTTTTTTTTTTTCACTTTCCTCTCGCGTGTGAATCATCTATTGTACATTGCTTGTGCCATCTCTGCCTGCAAACCTGCTTCTTTTCAACTATCTTTGTGTTTACAACCCACAACGGAGGTTTGAGACTCAAAATGCTACTAACATTTAGTTTAATGATAGAGCAGGACCGGGTGGAGTCTGGCCTTTTTTTTTTTTTAATGTTTGTTGCTTCATTTCTGTCTTCATTTTGCATAAAAACTGTGAAATGAAAGCAGCAGTAAACAGCTTGTTTTCCTGTAAGCAAAACTAATTAACATACTTTCTCTGGCACACAGCAGATGGAAAATGTGGAGCAGCACATTTTTATCAAGCATGCTATCATGTTTTTTTTTTTACTTAAATAAAATGACATGCAAAATCAAATTTAATGCATTTAGTTATTGGTGAAAAAAAATGAGTAGATATTCTGAGTGCTTTGCAGTTTGACCCTAGGTGCATAAATAAGCGAAATGTGTAGTTAGGAGTGCCATATGTGGATGTGCTGAAGTCATTACTGCTCTCAAGTTCTTTGTTGTGGTTGCTGTCCTCTTTTATAATAACCATTAGAGGTCACAGTAATTGTCAGCATAGATGTGTGATTTTACTGCATACTATCTAAAGTTATCACATCAAGGCCATAAATGTGAGTCAGACACCAGTATGAAGTAACATTGCATATGTTTAGTTATTTAAAAGAAATGTCTGGGTTAAAAAGTGCCAAAATGCTGCAGTTTGGAACAGGATGGTATGTTGGTATGAGTTATCGTGATAAAGAACCCAGATAACAAATGAGTGCTGGTTTATTACCAGCCCACATACCGCCGTGGAATGACGGCAATGAGCTTACCCGAACTTAACCTTGATGAGACCATATTTCCGCATGTTATGGACCAAAATTTGCAGTTGGGACACTTTTGCCCCAAAATTAAAATACTGCAGCATCATTAGATATGGTTGGTTGCATTTGGGAGTTTTTTGGCTTAAGTTACAAATTCCACAGGAACCTTAACTCTGCTGGCTCACAATAAAATTGGTATTGTGACAACGGACTCTTATGTGCCCATGAATCATGAATTCGTCTGTCTGAGGGAACACTTAAAATTTGTATGTTGAGTGTTTCCCTATCAGGAAGGGTTTCCTGCAGCCAAACAATCATAAACCAGTTAAAGGTTCTAGATTCATGGGCACATAAGGGCACCAGTTGTGGTAATATCAAGTGTATTGTGGGCCGAAAGAGGACAAATTTAAGGTATTTGTGGAATTTGTAACCTGAGCCCAAAAATGTCCAAAGACAACCAACCATATCCAAGGCTTCCGCAGCATTTAAAATTTTGGTGCATAAACTGCTCAAAAAACTTTCTCTTCAAGGTCCACAATACATTACCTCAACTGACCCTTATGTACCTTAAACCTTAAATCTGGCCACTTTTGGTCCGCAATACATTTGGTGTTGCCACAACTGACCATTATGTGCCCATGAATCTACAACCTTAAAGGGTTTTCTGGTTGTCTATCTAAGGGAACCCTTAAAAGTTGTAGATTCATGAGCACATAATGGTCAGTTGTGGCAACACCAAATGTATACCACAACACCAAATGTCTTCTAGTTCATAAAGGTTTCTAGTGCATAAAGTTTTCATAAAGGTTCTATGTAGAACCCTACAACAGAGTTTTTCAGGAAGTTTTATCAGGAAGGCTTCTCCCAAAAAGACAGCAGGAAAACCATTAAATGGTTAAAGGTTTTAGATTAGTGGGCACATTAGGGTCAGCTTTGGTAATGCCAAACGTATTGTGAGTCAAAAGTAGCCAGATATAAGGTTTCTGTGGAACTTGTAACCTGACACCAAAAATTCCCAAATGCACCCAACCATATCTAATGCTTCTACAGTATTTCAATTGGGCACAACTGTAAATTTTGGTACATGAACTGCGTGAAATACTTACTCATCAAGGTCCACAATACACTTGCCATTAACTCAGCTGACCCTTATGTACATTAAACCTTAAATCTGGCCACTTTTAGCCCACAATACATTCGGTGTTACCACAACTGGCCATTATATTGCCATGAATCTAAAACCTTTAAGGGTTTTCTGGTTGTGTATTTAAGGAAGCCCTTAAAGGTTCTATGTAGAACCCTACAACAAAGATTCAGTTAAATGGTTAAAGCTTCTAGATTTCGGGGCCCATAAAAGTAATTTGTGGTAAAAACCAAGTGTGTTGTGCGCCAAAAGTGGCCAGAACTCAGATTTTCTGAATTTCTGAACATGTTTCCCTCTCAGGAAGGGTTCCAAGTAAAAGCCTTTTGGGAAGCTAAGAACTCTTAACCATCCAAAAACCTTTAAAGAACCCGTGAAGAGTGTACACCAAAACATATATGGTCTGATATCATGCTTTATCCAGAAATCTTACACCATTAACTTTGTGCTATGTGTGTTGAGTTTTCAATAACATTCAAAACAGGCAACATCACTATGTTTTTTACTCCCCATAGTTCTACATAACCAAATCATTTAATACTTGCACTACTGATGCATATCTAGTGTTGCGTGCCATGAAAATGTCAGAAGCTTTACCCAAATACATGACACAACTGGATAGCATGCCCAAGACCTTGGTTGATGATTCATTCCTAGAATATCTATTGCTAATTTGTACACAAATTCTGTTCATTCTACTATGGTAGGAATTTAATTAAATCCCTGAAATACCCCACAAAATAGCCTTAAATTAAAGACTTGTTTAGAGCTGCTGTGCTGTGCAAGCTACTTTAAAAATGTAATTAGCTAAGCTACAATTAAAGCTTCATTATTCTTCGTTATTCTTCAGAAAAGCTATACACTGAAACGTAGTTTAACTACAGAGAAACTATATCCAAGATTGAAGATCAAATCAAAGCTGCCCAACTAATTATTCCATTTTTTTTTTTAAAAAAAAAAAGCCATTTAACAAATAAATAAATAAATAAATAAATCAACAGAAATGTGTCAAGGACCCTAAAGTCTAAGAACTAAGGTGTGTCAAGGATGACCCTAAAGTCCAAGTGCTAAGAAGCTGCCTCCTGCCTACAGAAGGCACTCATTCATCTGCATTCATTCCACAGAATCCTGAAAATTACCACTACAGTCAGGGTTTCTTTCTTGTTAACTGTGTTCCAAGCAACAGAAATAAAACCACTGTTGGGTGACAGTGTACGTTGTTGTACCGAACCTCTCGTGATTGCAGCAATAATTAATTTAGTGATGGGATTGCTGGTTCAGGACCACTGACAATTCATGTTAGTGCTATATATTTAAACTCGGGAAATGCATTATATAAATGGTGTATTTCTTTCCTGACCAGTGTATGATTTGAGGAATGCCTGGAAAACCAGATCAGTCATGCTAATTCAGGACCCAAGCATAGATATTTCTGGTTTCTGCCTGCCGGTAAGCAGTGATCTCCCACACCCAAGAAGAGAACAAGTTGTAATTGCTGGTTAATGTAAGTCGCAGCAGGCACAGAGAGTTTGTGCTAAAGATATCTCATCTAGATTGGGAAACAAATTTAAGCTTTCAATAAACTTACTCCACCACTAAGAGCCGGTTTGAGTTTTATGAATGGAAGGGTGCATGGGCCCCTCTCAAACTGATTGTTGGGGAAATTACAGGGTCGTATCTAGAAATGTATCCGGAAGTGAAGCCTGTCTAAGGGGTGGTATTCATTAGCAGAGGATGTGTATCCCCTAATGTACCCCTCATTACATTTAGTCATGCATCATGGGTAAATTGATAGCCATGGAACATATGGTGACGCTCGGGCTGTGTACTAACTCACACACTCACCGTGCATGTAGTCGTTAACTCAGTAATGACTGTTTGGTTGAAAGCTGAAGAACCAAAACACGGAGGCAATCGTGAACAAAAAGAGAATTGCTGAGCAAACAGGCAGACTGATGTTAATGAGGCAACTGTGAAAAGAAAGATTGTTTTAAAACCTTCTATTAACAAAGGTGTGCCTAGATATGATACCTTGCAAGATCTCATACTATTCATACTTTCTATATAGACCATGTGTCTGTTCTTTAGTAAACAGCTTTTTGCTGTGTTTCGCCCTCCATTTTATGACAAAATGACAGACCATTTAAAGAAATCTAAACTAAATAAACCTGCAGTGTAAATAAATCTACCATACAGTGAAATTTTCTTCTTCACAGCTCCTAGCTTTTTAGGAAATCAGGGTCAACCATTATACAGCGCCACTGCAGCAAAGAGTGTTAAAGGCCTTGCTTAAGGGCCCAACAGTGGCAGCGGCTTGAACCCCCGACCTTCTGATCAGTAACCTAGAGCCTTAACCACTTAGCCACCACCATTTTAATTTGCCTCAACTTTAAAGGGCAGTATGGGTTCTGGATGCTTCAGGATAGGTGCTGTGGTAAAGGCTTGTTTCAGGGTGGCAAAGGCCTGATCCACACAAGTTTCTTAAATTCTCTCTGATGTGATTGAAGTGAGAGGTGCATCAAACTAAAGTAATCATTGCTAGAAGTTAAACTCCATGAATCACTGTAAATCTTTGGCACTATGGGGAGTGGACCAATCTGTAACTGTTTAGACTTTAGCATTATCCATAAGAACACCTTGGATACATTTACTGATAATATAACCCAGAAATGCTCCTTGAGATACATGACATTCATGTTTCTCTGCTTTGAGGAAAAGATTATTTTGCCTTAGTCTCTTTAAAACAGTATGTGCTCTGGGGAATCTGAGTATATTAAAATATCATCAATGGAAACAATCATAGATTTCCCTAAAGTCTTTATTTACAATTAGCTGAAAGACAGAAGGGGCACTGACCAGTCCATATGGCATTATCAAGTATTCGTATGGGTCTGAGTTTGTGCTGAATGTCATTTCCCACACTGTGAAGGTCAAATTTGGTGAAAATGATGGTTGTTCTTAATTGCTCCAAGGCTGGATGCACCAGGCCCCACCACTACTGAAATGTAAACTATCAGCTTTTGGAGCTGGTTAGTGAGATTCCTAAGTGTGAAGTGAATGTTGGAGATCTGCTAATGTCGTTTGCTGACTGCAGGACCTTGAGCAGTATGAAGCTTGCTGTGTGAAAGTTATCTACAAAATCTTCTGACAGATACAAGCCCAGATAGATAGATAGATAGATAGATAGAACTGTATCTCCATCAGCACAAATTTACTTTCCATTTCAATTGGATTAAAAATTTCCAAATGTGTAAGACACAGTCTGACAATCTGGCAACCCTGGTAGAAATGCACGCCTTTAATTTAAGTAATGCAGTGGGGTGTTTAACAGTGCTGTATGCCACAGTTTTAACCTTCAGTAAAGGCAAAGCAAATACTTTGTGGCTTCAAAACATCTGTGGACTTTCTTTTAAAAGACAAAAGTGGCTATGACAATGAGCTCTGGCCAGTGAATGACGTGTGAAGTCAATTTAAATACTTGAAAATATTTTAGGATTGAAATATTTAAACCTGCTATGTTGATAGATAGATAGAGAGAGAGAGAGAGAGCGAGAGAGAGAGAGATATCTCATGGTCATTCCTCTTTCCGCCACCTCCAGTGACTCTACATTTGACCAAATAACAAAACTTAAAACAAATGTGCCAGAATGTGCCAGAGAACTTTCCAGACAGCTGTCCATATTCAATCAGTACAATTGCCCCATTATTACAAACTATGTTTCTCTTTGGTAATGACATTTGCATATCCAGAAGTCAGACTTACCCTGACAGGTTGTTGGAATAGGTAGTGGGTTAATACTGAGGGCAAGAAAAGATGGTCATAGACTGTGCTAATCTGGGAGCTTGGCATTATACAATTCAAGGCAAAAGACTTCAGAGTTTTTGAGTTATCTCTGTAATTTCATTTTGTGCTAGTGTTGCACTTCAGTAACCACAGCTGAATATGTGTTCGCCGTTCGGATCCACAATTAAGACTTTCCCTTTCTCTGCACATGATCATTAGAACGTCATTTCTGAGCTTTCACTCTCTTCTATAGCAGTGATAGCAGTTATGGTTATGGTAAATCTCAATAACCCATTTTTGGATTTGACCTTGGATTTGATATACTATTGCATGCATCTATTTTAGCCCTGGAAGGATTTAATTACTATAACAGTAGTCTCGGCAGTTTTAGATCTAAAAGTCAACAAATCACTGATTCTGTTAAAGGGGTCGTTTGGACGACAAATGACAGTTGCGCATTTATTTTAGTCTATATAGCAAGGCAATAGTCCAAATACCAAGCTTTTTTAGTTTTGCTCTGGAGCTACCAAAGCTAATCTTTTTTTTAACAAATAAGGGACTTTGTACAGGCACGACAGAAAAGCATTGACTCTATTATTGGGAGATTGCGAGTTTGAATCCCACATTGTCACAGCCACAGGAAGTCCAAGAGATCAGTCAAAATTGGGGTCGGAGGGATGGCATTAATGTCTCCTCTGTCAATCAGAGCAACACTAACCAATCATGGGCATCTGTAAGCTCTTGTATGCGGAAGATGGCAGTTAGCACATTCCTTTCAGTTGCCCTGTGACATAGCATGAGCAGCAATTTGTAGATAGATAGATAGATAGATAGATATATAAACATGTTAGGTTGACAATATACTTACACAAGCAAGTATACCAATATACACAAGCAGCATTGGTCACATAATGGAGTGCGTACCTTTTGTGCATCTGGGGCATTAAAAAAGCAATGTTAACTTGGGGGCAGGTCAAAGCTGAAACACCCTTTTTGCTTTCCATGGCAACCTGTAACTTTCCACTGTCTTGGTTGTTGCCATAAGCAGTGTCTAAATTTACATTTATATCAGGCGGACCTTACAGAAGTTAAAACTGTAGACGATACGAAAATGTGTATGTTTTTTTTTTTTTTATTAAAACACAAGCCATTTTTTTTTTACTTAAAATAGTATAGAATAGTATATACTAAGTACACAATATGAGACACAGTAGTAATTTCAATCTGCTTCTTATGCTTCTTATGTCATACTATATTGATCCCACTGTTTACAGCGTCTTGCATAAGTATTCATGGGTCTTGGGATTGGGATTTTTTTTATCATTTGATTTACAGAATATGTCAAACATGTGAAGGTACAATTACAGCTGTGAGTCTCTATCAATGTTGCACATCTGGATGCTGATATTTTTTTTGTCCATTCTTATTTGCAAAAAAAAAACAAACAAACAAAAAAAACAAACGGCAAGAACAAAAAAATACATTTTGGTCTAAATTAGAGTTTCACTGCAGTGGAGACGTGGAATACATAAGTAAGCTGTATTGATTTTTGTATTGATATTGTTTAAGTTACTTTGAAAACATGTCAGCCACATTGAAACCACAAATCAATCACGATATAGATTTTGTGTATCAGTGTTGGGATCTTCAGTTAGTATGTGTTATCATAAAGTGTTGTGCTATGAATAGGTCTTGTGGCCCTCTCTGAGGGAAAAGCCAGAGGAAACACATCATTTTGATTCTTTTTTTATACAAGATTAAAGGTGTGACGATATACTGAGATAAGATAATCTGCATTGGAGCCCAAAAACAAAATAAGTGAAGCCTGTGGAGAGGGTTTGGCAGACAGGACTGTCACATCTTTTTGTAAATTTGCTTCAGTATTTAGGACTGAAAAACATTTACTTGGGGCCCTTTTAAACAGTCGTTCCTGAAGGGGTCCTGATATACACTGATGCTGCTCTTGATATTGAATGGTAAAGCTAAAAATATTCTACTACCTATCAGTCATGTGGTGTTACTATTACGAAACCATTATGGTTGAGCCTTATAGCTTGGGATCTGATCACTGGCAGAAAATCATTCCGCATACACATAGGAACACACTCAGTCTTTCAAAGACATATAGGCAATACCATTTGTGCTTTGTCTTTTTTTTTTTTTTTTTTTTTTTTATAATTCAAGTGTTTCAACAAATAAGAGAATTTGGATGACAACTAGACCATTTTTAATTTTTTTTCCCCAAGTATGGCATATTAGACTTATATTTATTGTGCATCCACACTGCAATGATGCAAAATACTTGTTATCCTGCTTCCCATTCATTTTCTGTGGAGACAAGCTAATAACATGTGCAGAGGATTGTGGGATTGTGGGAGTGAGAGCAGTGCAAAGCCGAATTTCCTAACTATCCCCTAAAGCAAATCTAGGAAGTTACAGCATCATAATGACTGTGAGTCAATTTTATAGCAAAAGTCTTCTTAAAACTAGGAAATCACTTGCAATAGTTTTAAACTCAATACTCCAATTCACATCAAGCAAGATTTATATATATATATATATACACACACACACACACCACAGTGCTGTTGAATTCTCAAATCTGATTGGTCAGATGGTCTTGATTACATTTCTATAGCAGCAGCTCTGACCATAGTTCCGGCTGTTTATTTATTATTTATGGAAGGAGACTCCAGTGTCAGTGCTTTATAAAAGTTTTCCATCACGGGAAAGTCTTCAGGATGGAGAAGTTTGTTATTTCTGGTTTCTCAGTAACATGAAAAGCTGCAATTTTTTCTTATTATTAACTTCAAGAGAGAGGGAAAAAAAAGGCTGGTGAGAGTTCGACTGTTTATAGCTTCTATAACGCAAGTCAGAACAGGAAGTACCTTGCCTCGAGGATGCTCCAAAACATTAAAAGTTACTAGAAATGGTTAAAAAGCATGACATATTATCCATTAAGAAAATTTAAAATTGTGCTCTTTGGCTGGAGGAGGTACTGTTATGGAAAAGTAAATAACTTTGGGGTGGTAAAATTGTTGATTATTTTCCTATAAAGCATGCTCTGTCATGTTTTAAACCTTAATATAAGCATAATGGTTGGTTTCAATTATTTTTTAGAAACATAAATATATTAAAAAGTCATAGTATAGCCTATTTTATACTGTGTTTGTGTTATTATTCATTTGAGATAAAAATTCTAGACATTAGAATACCAAGTTCAGAAAAATGACAATGAAGTGCACTCTGAATAGGCATTATTAGGGATCCTTTTGAGCGCGTAGGGAACAGGTAGTTTCTATAATTATAACATTAATATTACATGTTGCAAGGCTTTTAAAAAGGTCAAGATAAAGCATGTCTAAGCCCGATCCTCCAATTTAAATAACATTTCAGCTGTTTTTTTAACAGAATAATTAACCGAAGATCTGTTGCTGTAGTGTTTTATGGCATTTTGTATTATTTTCTTTGAAAAAATATGTAATTGTAAGCCTGAAAACATTGTCTTGGATTGGATTACTGGATCATACTTCAGGTGAAGCTATAAAAGAATGAATAAAAGACTTATGATGAAGCCACAAATGAATG